GGAGCGGGGGAATCCTGGCCATCTTTCTAAAGCCCAGGGACCACAGCAGAGACAGGTGGGTGCACTGTCATTGCAGTCTGATTAAGTGCTGAAGAGGATGGAGGAGCCACCTCTCTCCAGGAGAGGAGGTCCCTAGAACCCTTTATAATGTACCCTGAGCAGTCCATCCCTCCCTCAAATTGTTCACCCTCCTATTAAACAAGCTTTGATGGTTTTCTTCACTGATCTCAGAAACTAAAAAACAGAAAACAAAAAACACCATCCCCTCCTCAAAACCCCCCCATGCTCCCCAAAAGTACCTTTCGTTCTTCTCTACCCTGACTCCTTCACTTGTCATTGTTACCAACCATTCTGAATCAGTGTCCTAGCCATTTCATTTCATTAGCAAATAGGAGAGTGGCCCCTGCCACCATCCGCTTCTTATTAGTCGTCTTGTAAACCTCTGGGAGGTGGCCCCTCCTAGGGACCTCATCTTCCTCATCCTTCTTCCCCTTTGGCCCCATTCCTGAGTGGTTTGTTCAGCACTGAAAGCATTTCCTATATAGCCAAAGAAGATCCCAAGTTTAGAGTTTAAACATTGGAGCAAGGTGAGTAACTCTCCCTTGTCCTCCTGCAGTGGCCTATCTCAAACGTTCCTTTGCATAGCAGGTTGGACTTTGGGAGTAACCTAACTCCAGCCCCGTGGGGGCGGCTGCCTTGTTTGAGTCTTGGGGCGTGTGAGAAGCCTTGCAAGCTATACATGCTACATACAGGACCTTCAGCACAGGTCAGCCTGGGGATCTGGACTGGCCCCTTGGCTGAGACTGTGTGTGGATGAGGGAGGGATCAAAGACTGAGCTCTGTCTTACACTGAAGCCCCAGAAATTCAGGGAGAGGCACAGAGAGCTTGGCATTTACTTGGAAGCCCGCAGCTCCCTGGTTGCCAGTTAGCTGAGATGTTGCATGTTGATTTCACACATTCACTTTTCTTCCTCCCCTCTGAGAATTCTGTACTTGCTTCACTTTTTTTTGTTAAAAAAAAAAAAAAAAAAAAAAAGCAAAGTAGGTCTGCCTTGTTCAAATGCTTGAAGAAACCCTCAAGGCTGCCTGTGCCTTCTGGCCCTCCTGGGCCTGGTGGGCTGTGGAGGAATGGGAGAGGACAGGAGAGATGGTGTCTCACATCACAGTTTCTACCTGGTTGGTCCTTCTGTACCCCATGTCCAAGGAACTGAGGCAACCCTTGAAACTGGCCTGTCTATCCCTTGCCTTGCCTTGCCTTACCCCATTGTCAGCCCAGCTTTGTAGGGCCCTGGTGGTGATGACATTCCTCTACTGCTTGGGAAGAAACTGCAGGACGTAGTCTAGACTTTTCATGCATCTTGCAAGACCTTGTAAACTAGCTCAAGTTGATTCACAGGCATATTCTCCCACTTCATTCAGGCCTGCTGAATGGACCACACCTAATCCTTTCTAGAGTGTCCTCTGTTCCCCTTTCTTCCTGTTCCCACCCACTTCAGAATGTCCTTTTCCAAAGGCAGAGCCACAGGACAGCTCCTTGCTCGTCCTTCTGTGTGTGTGCACTGTGGATCACTGTTTGGGGCTTCTCTAGGTATGTGTGGAGTGGGGGAAGGAGACTGGTCTCTTTAGCTGGTTTGCCTCCTTTCTCCTGGTGGGTCTTTGCTCAGTGTCCTGCTCACAGTGAACAATCTGCCATCTATGAATGGTCTGTTCATGGGGATGGGGTGGAGGTGGGTTGTATTCTAGCTAAACCTGACTTCCAGACACTCCTCTACAGCTTTGTCCTCAGACAGGACTTGCTCCCTGTCTTCCACACTCCATTTACCTGCATCCTTTGGTCCTTCTATCCTCTTTAAGATTTCTCAGGCCATCTCCATGGTGGCTCACGATTAGCAGTCCAGACATACTGCCCCATTCATTTCTTCTCTCCCTTTGGCTCCTTACTCAGGGTTCTTTCAAATAATGACCTTGGATCAGGGCACACTAATTCAGGTTCCCCATTGTGCTTTAAGATTCTGTTAGGCTGGGAAGATTTCCAAGGGCAGGGAATGTGTTTAAAGTCCAAGAGAGTATAGCACATGATTTGTCTGAAATCACTCAGTTTCCTTGTCTGTAAAATGGGTTAATAACCACACCTATCTTGTATGGTTGTAATGAGGATTAAATGAGTAAATAAGTCACTATGAGGGAAACTTGGCTTCTGGTACATATAAGGACTTAACCAAAGTTGCTCTTATTATTCTGATAGTGACTATGCCAGTGTCCTGATGGGACTTAACTGTAGCTCTGTTCAAGAACTGACAAGTGGGACTTCAATGCCGCTTTGACAAGTGTGACCAGGAGGGAGCAGAACTGTTGACATTGGACAGCTTCTTCTGCGTTGTCTCCCTGTCTTCTGGCCCTCAGGCCCTTAAGCTTATAAGGAAGCAGTGGCACATATTCTTTTTTTTTTTTTGGTACCAGGGATTGAACCCAGGGGTGCTTAACCACTGAGCTACATCCTCAGCCCTTTTTGTATTTTATTTAGAGACAGGGTCTCGCTGAGTTACTTAGGGTCTTGCTAAATGTTGAAGCTGGCTTTGAACTTTTGATCCTCCTGCTTCAGTCTCCTGAACTGCTGGGATTACAGGAATGTGCCACCGCGCCTGGCACACATTCATTTTTGATCAGACACGAAGGTGGAACAATCCAGGGGCAATCAGGAGACTGTTCCGACTGAACCCAGGTGTGAATTGGGGATGAGATAACTGGAAAGTGATTAGAAAGTAGAGGGGGCCAGCTTGGGAGGATGCTTGGTAACACCAAGTGGCTCCATGCCCAGGTCATAACATCACCTTCTTGGTGTCCCTCTTTGTTTGAAATCACACAGTTTCCTGTCTGTAAAATGGGTTAATAACCACACCTATCTTGTATGGTTGTAATGAGGATTAAATGAGTAAATGAGTCACCACCACCAGCTCCCTTCACACAACACCCACAGGAGGCTCTTGATTGACAAGGAGGAAATGGCAATGCAGAAAGCCAGATTACCTTGTCCTTGATAACATAGTTAGAATGAGCTGGAAGGGAAAAGCAATCTCCTGATTCCTAGTCTAGCTGGCAAACAATCTTTCCCTGAACCCAGGAAGTAACATTGTGAGAACCAAGTGACAGCCATGAGCCCCTCTGTAGTGGGCCTGCCAGGTGAAGCAGAAGAGGACAAAAGGTGTTAGCCATTCCAATTGAGTGGTGTTCAGTCGGAGCCAGTTAAACACCTGCCCCTTCATCTGTAGATAGCATCCACAGGACCACTGTGCTGAGCAGGAGAGAGCACTTTACTGGAGGCTGCAATACACAGTAGGCTTTATTCCCACCGGTGTTGGGAAGAAGCTCAGACAAGTAAAACCATTGCAGGCTCCTTTAAAGAGGCTGAGCTGCCCTCAGAATCTGACAGCTTTCACCTCTAGGATGCAGGTCTGCCTGGTGCAGACTCTAGTACAGAGTCACTTCGGTGAACTGTGATGAGGGTTTTGAAGTCCCTCTGGATGGAATTCATATCTCCTTTACCCTGCAGCCATGGCCAGCTCAGTTCTGCCCATCTGCTGGGTGGTTAATACCCTCCTGTCTTTGTGTCTCGATTGTGGGTCCCTGAAGGGCAGGGGCACATCTTGTATGTTTCCTCAGGGGCTTGACCCTGGTGCTCAGCACACAGTACCTGGTGTGGAATAAATGCCTGGGAGGATGCAAGGCTGGGCATTTCACACCCAATCTCAAGTAGGGCATGGAGGCTTCCATCCAGCCATCTCTGTGCAGTGCCTCTCAGAGGCCAAGCCCAGAGTTAGGTGCTGGGGTTTCAGAGCCCTTTAAAACTTAGCTCCTGCTCTAGTAAGTAGTACTGTCAGTTCTCTTGCGGAGCTACAAGGATGGTGGAAGAAGAGAGATGGGATCCCCGCCCCTCAAGCCTTCTAGTCTTCATCATTTGCAAACTGTGGTGGTCACACGATATCAATGCAGACTTCTACATGAGCCTAAGGGAAGCTGCCCTAGTCGAAGTGTTTTTCCAGACAATAAAGTGTTGCTGTGGTCGGTCTGAAACCCCAGGCAAGCGCATTCCTCCTGCTGTTTCTCTGACCACCTCCTTTCATGCACTCCTCGCTACTCTGAGAGGACCCAGCCTATGTCTAAAAGTACTCCTACACTGCTTCACTCTTGGTATAGGCAGGCTGCGGGGAGCAAGGCAGGACCCCACTTCGGCCACCTGCCCCTTAGAACCCAGCCAGAGCCCCAGTGGCGCGGCGTCCCACCCGGGAATGCGGGAGCGGGGGTTCGCGCAGCTGCAGGAGCCTCGCGGAGCCGCGCGTGCGTGTGCGCGCAGAGGGGGCGGGGAGGGCGGCGCACCCGCGGAGGCCCCCAAACGCTTTCCCACACCTCTTGCCTACCCTGCGATCTCTTCTCCCTGTCCGCTCTAGCCAGCCCCACGTGTGCAAAAGCGTGGTTTGTGTGTGTGTGTGTGTGTGTGTGTGTGTGTGTGTGTGTGTGTAGGCGTATGAGTAGATACAGCCAGGAGACCATGTGCCCCAGGCTGGACCGGCTCTGGTGTTTGCAGGAGGCGGCGGCCAGCTTGACAGTGACCACGTTTCGTGCCCTCTCCAGTGCTTCTCCCCAGACCTTTCCTCCGGCTTCTTTGGGTCATTGGTACCTCCAGCCATCCCCCTTCTCTCGCCGCCCTCTTTCTTGAGTTAAAGATACCAGCGCTTTCCGATGAAGGTTCTGGTTCACCCCCAGCCGCAGAGCCCTTGACATTTAGCGAGGGTTCGCGGCGCACTTGTATAGGCACACAGCAGAACGCTAATCCTATTAAAGATATTGTGTCATTGGGGAGGGGGGGTGGCTCTCCAAACGGAGCCAGGCAGGCCTCATGCCCATTGGTCAAATGCAAAACAGGGGGTGGGGCTGAGGACCCGGGGAGGGGGCTCCAGGCGATTTCGGAGTCTGGAGTCGGGGTTGGGATTTCGCAGGGAAAGCCCAGCGGTTGCAGCTGCGGCGGATCCCTAGGCACTGCCTGCCGTTGTGCCCGGAAAGCCCAGGGCCGGCAGCAGCTCCGCAAAGTCGTGGAGCTAGAGGAGGCCGAGCGCCTGCAAAGTGCTCGGGCTCAGGGCTGGGACTGGACTGGGAGAGGGGTGCCCAGGGAGCCTGGATCTCGGCGCCCTTCGGCCTCGCGTGGAGCGGTGGGTGCAGCTGGGAGGCGTGCTGCCGCTCTGGAAAGAGAAATCAAATTACAGCCTCCCCTAAGACGCCAAGTTACGCAGGCGAACCGGTTCCCGGAGAGCGTTCGAGAGCGCGCATAGATAGAACCGCGCAGTGCCGCAGAGCCCTCCCGGGCCAGCCGGCCGGGAGCGGGGTGCCGTCCCATAAGCAGCGGCCCCCGGGAGCGGGTTTCGTCCGGGAGTGCGCCGGGTGCAGAGAGGGGGCGTGCAAGGCTCCGCCGGCCCGCCAGCCTGCCTGCAGCCCGCGCCCGACTTGGGCGCCCCCTCCGTCCCACTCTGGGAGCGATGCCCCCCGCTCCTCGCGCCCCCTGGGAACGACGCGAGCATGGAGAAGTCGAGTAGCGAGGATTCTTCGATTCACCGGAGTCCATCTTTGGACAGCAAGGACTCGGACTTTGGCAAGCCGTCCACCTCCGGTCGTCCGTTTGGCCGCGGCTTCACGGCCGGCGCCTTCTACGGCACCGCGGGCTCCCGGGGCCAGAGCCGCGCGGAGGCCGGCGTTAAGACCGACAAGTACAATGCACCCAAAGGCAGCAAGTACGTGGTGTTTTACCTGGACCTGTCCTTTGTGTTCCTCCTAGAATTTAAGAAGTGCAACATGGCCAGGGGCTGCCTCTGCTGCTTGAAGTACATGATGTTCCTCTTCAATTTGATATTCTGGGTAAGTCCTTGCGTTGATTCCTCCCTTTGCCCTCCTCTCCTCCTCTTATCATAGCGTGAATACCCGCTTTCTCCTCCGTGCTGCATTGCTCCCCTCTCTGCACAACGGTAAGTGCTTTAAAAAAAAAATCGTCCCCTACCCCCTTTCATGCATCTTTTTCTTCCTTTCTCCCTTTCGTTGGTGGCTGATGAGGGCTCCAACTTGCCTGTGTTCTAGGAGAGACTTGCTGTACTCCTAGGAGGCTGGCAAAGTTTGCCACTACTTAATTCCCCAATAAGAAAATCCATGCTGGAAGTGCTTGAGCCCAGGGAACCTGCAGCAGTGGGTGTGGGGTCAGAAATTTTAACAGCTGTGACCCTGCATTGGAGATAGCACAGGTGAGAGTAGTTTTCAGAGTTTCTTGTATCGCTCCAGAATGCACAAGAATTCAATCTGCAGCATTTTTTTTTGGGAGCAGGAAAGATGGGAGTGTAGAGGTCCCATTCTTTTCAGTGAATCCTAGGAAGAGGAGGAGGAGCCCCTATCCCTGGTTGAGTTGGGGCTGGTGTGGGGAGGGAGGGCTGGGGGCATGCTGCCATGGGTGACTCGCTGCTGCTTTTGAGGGATTGCAGTGGACTGGGCAGAGGGCAGACTGGTAAAGCATTCCCAGGCTCTGAGCGCCCCCGGGGACTGGAAGGGACAAAGGGAGAAAGTGGTGCTCCTGTCCTTGGTGAGACTATTTTCTAGAGAAACTGTTAGTAGATGGGGTGTCTCGAAATTGTTCTCTGTCCTCTGTGGGATACTAAAGTACGTGTGTGCACAAGAAGTACTAGTTAGGCAAATTAGACGAAAACTTAAATTCATCTCTAACTGTTCCTATCATCCTAACTGCTGCCTCTGCCTTTCTTCACCAGAGGCCAGACTATAGTCAGCACAGATGTTTGGCTCATCCCCAGGCTGTGTCCTGCCTGCTGGAGGCTGTCAGCTGCTTGCCTGTGCATGGTCCAGGAGTAGAGCTGGGGACAGGAGAAAGTCATTCTGAGTGAGGTTGAGTAGAAGTAGTTGTTCACTGGGGCTCAGCTTTTGTATAGACTGACCCACTTTAGCTGGAAAACTTTTTGAGAAGTGTGTGTAGGGTGGGTGACTTTTCCCACAGAAGGGAACACTCTGGGTTTTGAAGGAAGAAGACAAGATTTTGATATTGGTTCTTTGTTAGCTTCTTGTGTGACCTTGGGCAACTCACTCTCTTCTTTAAAATCTGGGCTTCCTTTCCAGTCCAGAGAGGGGCTGTTACAATGGTCTTCCTCACTGCCCTCATCTCATCTCATTAACTATGTGATATCCTGGGGCAGAGGAGGCACCTGTTTCTTTTCTAGAGAGAATTGTCTAATATTACTTAAATTGGGTTTCCTCAGATGTGTCTATGGGCTAGGACCTCCGGCCACCCCGACTGTTATTAGGAAGGATGCTACCTGTCCTGTGGTTAGGATTTTATGGAAGCTAGGGCAGCTATTCTAATTATTTTTCTGGTGGTGAGAACCATTGGAATGTCAAGAATGACTTTGTAGCTGCCTTGTGGGCAAGTGTCCTTTGACTTGGTTGCCAGCATCTGTGCCAGCCAAGCACTGGTGTGTATTTCCGTGAATCCTGGGTCCATCAGAATGCTGTCCTTTGTTGTTCACTGCTTTCTTCTGTCCTTTTTTCATAGTTTAAACCCACTTTTCTGTTTTGTCTCACCTTACACATATTAACACTTAACCCTGTGGGGATGCTCCGCGCATTTGGCCAGTAACTCTCCACTCCGCGCTGTGCCTCCCCACCCCCACCCCGCCACCTGCTGGCCGCAGATGGTATATCCGCTTATGGTTCCTTTAGCATGATTCCAACTTGACTTGGGGACCTCCTAGCAAACTAGTACCCTGGCCTGTGACCTGCACATAGTAGGTACTCGTGATATATTTGGATGTGAATAAATGGGAAGATGTAGCTGTGAATCTCCAACATGTTTTTATGAGGTAGGAATTCCAAGTCTCACTTAATAGGGATGAGAAGTTAGGTATCAAACTTGCCTGTAATAAAGTCTCTCCTAGCTTAGCTGTGGGGTGACAAGTGATTCTTTCCATCTTCCCTTAAAAGCTTGGCAGCAGTTAATGAGCTAGTTGATGAAACATCCTTCCTTTATGATCTATAGTGAGAGAACTTGCTGTCTCGTCCTAATTAGAAGATGCCGACTATGCTCTCTTACCAGGCAAGGAGTTGCTCCCCCCTGGTCCCTGACTTTTTTGATTACTTGATATATTCAGAATTCCCATGACTCAAGCTGGGAAAATTGAGTCTCAAAGACCCAGTTCTTTTATGCTAGGAGCATGTGAGACGATAAATAAGGCTTAGATCTCAGGAAAGATGGGAAATTTAGCAGAGAAGAAATGAATGCTTGTATATCTAAGTGTTTGTTGGGGGATGGAGGGGCAGGTGGAGCAGGACATTGGCCAGGATTTGGGGAAGGTGGGTCACTTGCTTCCCTCAAGTGAAGATTTCTTGTAGTTAGGTAGGGGAAAGATCAGAGGAAAGAACTGAATGAAAGCAGAAAGCATCAAAGGCTGGCAATGTGTGGATGTATCAGGGTCCCTGGGAGTTCTCTTCTGCTGCCCCAGAGCACACATACTTGGGGGCCAGAAAACAGGACCTGATGAAGGAGAGGGATGGTTAAGCCCAGCCCACTGGGACCAGGAGCAGTTGGTAGGAATTCTGTAGCATCACTGGTTTTAGTCTCATGGCTCAGATCCCAAAAGGAGGCATTTCTGAGACATTAGGGTTGAACTTGAGACCTGAGATCAATAGACAAGAGTTCTTCCCATAGATCCCGGAGCCATCTGGTAGTTCTCCAGACCCCCGCTGGGCCACGCCCCTGCCTCCTCCCAGCACTGGGAAGGTTCCTGGGCGGAGGAGAGGTGAAGCATATAAGGCAGCCTCCTCACAGCCTGTGAGTGCTTGCTTCCTCACCACTGGGTGGAGCTTCCAAGGTGTTGGCATTGGTGAGGGCCTGGGTGACATCACTGGGGGCAGGTTGAGGAGGGTGGAGCTGTACAGCTGTGCTCCTCCTCCTCCTTACTAAGAAAAGGGCAGGTGCCTCCCAGGCTGCTGGGCGCCTGCCTGCTGGTGGGGGTCCAGGCACTGCTGACTTCAGCCAGACAGTGCTGGCCACCTTGGCAGCCCAGTGCACTGTGGGAGTTTGGGGCACCCAGGAGGGCAGCATTTCTGAGGGCCTGATACAGATGGTGAGAGTGGAGGAGGGGGTCTGAGTCCCCTTTCCTCTTTATCCCTTTTGTCCCCCATCTTTCTTGGGTCCTTGCATGGCTGTCTGATAGAATATTCCAGCTAGAGATTAAGTGAAATTAAGCTTCTCCAGGAGAGCAAAGGAGACTTTTGATTGTGAGTAGAGGAGAGAGTGAGTATAGGGATAAGCTGCAAAAGGCACCTCTGTGTGCTGGGGCCTGTGTCCTTTTCTTGGGACAGCAAATCATGATCCCGGCCAGGCTTCTCACAACCCAAATCGAGTTGCTGTCTGCTATGGAGGGGTGAAGGTAGGTGGCTGCCATAATTGTCACTCAGTATAATGGTCACTTTTCATGCTTGCCAGCAGAGCTGTCCCATCGCTTTAAATCATGGCTGGCAGACAGTGACATTCTGGCCCCACTGGAAAGCTATTCCTTGTGGATTGCTCCCTTAATAAAGGCCAATTAGTGGAGGAGACAGCGGTCAGTGTGCCTGCTGGGGCAGGGGCAAGGCTGGCACGGGCTGCCACGGGCAGGGTGCCGGGACAGGCCCTGATTAGCCTCCCTTAAGTGGGGTCAGGCTTCTCCCAGACTGTTCACTGGCGTTGGGAGCAGGCATTGTCAGGGCTCTCCAGCAGCTTTGGTGGCGTGTTTTCCGCACTGAGGTGGCTGGCTTATCAGGGCTTCTGTGGGCTCCACACTGGGTGGTCTGGAGTGTCACAGGGAGTGTGTGGGGTATCTTCTGGTAATGAGTGGGCTTGAGAGGTCCCAGCAGAGAGTACAAGTTCAGACCTGGCCCCTGCCGGCCCCACCTGGCCTTTCTCAGCAGAGATGAGCCTGGACCTGGGAGCAGGAGGCATTTAGAGGCTCAGATGGAGAGATGGAGGTTGGCCTCTTAGAGGGCTGCTGCAAGACAGTCTTCAGGGTGGGTCAGGCCTGGCTGTGCTTGGGAGCAAGGGAACAAGATGAAGGGCCTGGCACATACCCTGAGAGACCCCTGGATTGGGGCCATGAGAGAATGCCAGCTCTGTGTTCACTTCCTTTCCAAAGCATTAAAAATTAAACTTCCTTGTCTTAATGTCTATTTTTAAATCATGTCAGAGCCAGCATTGGTGTCAATCAAGAGGGGGTGGGGAGGAAGAGAAGAGAGAAGAGAGAAAGCCCCAGCTGAAATGGGGTGAGCAACTCCTTCCACCTTGAGAGAAGGGCCACTGGCTCTGCCGCCTGGCCTGGCAGTGAGAGCGCAGAAAACACCACTGACCTCCACTCTGAGCAGGGTGGCCTCGCCCTTCGCTACTTCTACCCCGTGTGCCTGGCTGCCCTTGGCTGAACTTGGCCGCGGGCTCTGTGGCCCTAGCCTTCTGTGGCTTACAAGGGTGTTGGGGTCCCAATTGAGTCCATTCACTCACGCTGCAACTATTTGCTGAATGCCCGCTGCGTGCGCAGGAGCCTCCAGTTGGTGAGGACAGGGGCCGACTGGGCTCACTTAGGGCAGATCAGTTTTCTCGTGCCAGGAAGTTGTGGAATTGAGAGGTCATCTGGCCTGTCCTGCACTCAGCATTTGAACACAGGGCTGCCAGGGAGAAGCCAGTGTGCAAGGGGGCACCTCCTGCTTCCCTAGCGTTCCAGGGTGAGCAGCAGCAGACCTGGGTGCAGCTTCCTGATTGCCTGACTCGACTCAACCTTTCCCCTCTCCAGTGCTACCTGGTAACTCTCTGAAGCTTCCTCTCTGAAGTGTTTACTCCC